CCATATCCCACATAGAGCACTACTTTACTCTGTGTGCTCATCTCCTTCGACTGACAGTCTGAAGTATTTAAGAACTCGTTCTTTTTTGAATCCCATTGCCCTCTGCTGAGATCTAACCTCTCAACTCTGTTCATTCTATCCCAATTATCTCCCGTCTCTCTAGCAATTTGAACCATGTTTATTTCTCAGATATGATGTCACAGCCAGAGATCCAGGATAACATCTCCACTTCTCAGGAAACAAATGCTTAGTTTCACTTTGGCTTGGAAGGTCTCAAATATCGTAACTTGAAACTCAGATCAGGCTGCCAACAAACTGAGAATGTCATCACAGTGGATTGAGAGTCTGACTGGTTGTCTGTGATGGGGAGACGGGTGCTGTGCATGCACTTAACTGAATCAATGTGGAATAAGACGATAGTAGCACCTGAGTGTGGTGTGGTGTAAGACTGTAGCATGACCTGAGTGTAATGTGGAATAAGACTGTAGCAGCTCTTGAGTGTAATGTGGAGTAAGATTGTAGTAGGACCTGACTGTGGTGTGGAATAAGATTGTAACAGGGAGAGAAAAGCGGAGAAAGACTGCAGATGAACCAAAATGTGGTTTAGAGTAAGACCATTGTAGACCTGAGTGTGGTTTGGAATGAGAATGTCAGTATAGTTGAAGTAGTGTGGACATTTGAAGTTGATGAGTGTGTCTTCTGGATTCACTGAGGCTTTGTTAATTTGAAGTCTAAGTGCGTCTGTTAGACACACTAGAATGGGGAGGGGGTGTAGAGGGATATCAAATGGAATTTCCACCCTTTTTTTCTCCCTGGGGCCAAATCAGAGTGGTTTCCACACATTACAAAATGGTTCATGTAATGACCTCCTATGTGACTATGATAAAGGTAAATGACCTGTCCTTTTCCTTCCTAACCTGTTTGCAACCTTTGATTAACCAAAGCTTTCACCTGCAACACCTCTCCTCTTCTTTTAATCCAAGATGGTGGCAGAGTAAGACGTTTCAGACAGAGCTCGTCCACTCCATCCATTTCCTTTTCTTTCTTTCTCTCCTTTTTCTTCTCTGTTGCGTTTCTTTCTCCCTTCTTCTCTCTTCTCCTGGGCTCAGACTCAGCGCGGACTCAGCGAGGCAGCTTCCCGGCCAGGCGTGGCAGACTTTCAGCCTGGCGTGGACTCAGGTCATGCTACAGTCTCTCGGCCCAGCGTGGTGGTTTTATGGCAGCCTCTCAGCCTGGCATGGCCTCAGCATGGACGTCAGGTCTCGAGGTGATTCCTCAAAGTGCGGTCCCACCGTGGCTAAGCACTTAAGAAAGACTGTATTGTCTGAACTTTCAGCTTTATTTCTTTGTTTTCTACTTAAAACTAAGCAGGTGTCACTGTATTGTAATGAGTGCAATGTTTAACTTTTAACCTTGTTCTTTCTTTCTACCTTGTTCTTAAGATTCTGTACCTGGGTACTTGTACTAAGATGGCGTCTTGTGTGGCGACATTAAACACTTTTCACTGTACTCCTGTACTTTTCGACTTGCATACACATGACAATAAAATTAAAATCAAAATCTCCACTGTGCTTTAGCAGAGACAGACTGCAATCTGTTCTTAGCTCTCTCTCCAGCTACTATGCCTTCGAAAGGTTCACAAACTATGACACTACTCACTGTTCCACATGACCAACCTGCATATCTGATATCCAGTACAGATTGGAAGAGATTTTCTCAAAATAAATGTTTGAAGAACCATGTCGTTTGACAAGGTTTTGTACGGTAGACTGCTGAACAAGGTTAGATAACATGGAATACAGGGAGAACTAGCTATTTGGATGCAAAAATTAGCTTAAAGGTATGAGACAGAGTATGGTGGTGGACTGTTGCTTTTTGGACTGGAGGCCTGTGACCAGCAGTGTACCGCAGGGATTGACACTGGGTCCACTGCCTTTTCATCATTTATATAAATGATTTGGATGTGAACATAGCAGGTATGCTTAGTAAATTTGCAGATGACACCAAAATTGGTAGTGTACTGGACAGCAAAAGAGATTACCTCACAGTACCAAGATCTTGATCAGATGGGCCGAAGGACCGAAAGAGTGGCAGATGGAGTTTAATCTAAATAAACATGAGGTACTACATTTTAGTAGGGCAAATCAGGGCAAGACTTATACACTTAATGGAAAGGAGCTGGGGAGTGTTGTCGAACAGAGACCTTGGACTGCAGGTTTATACTTCCTTGAAACTGGAGTCAAAGGTAGACTGGGTAGTGAAGAAGTGTTTGGTACACTTGCCTTTAATGGTCAGTGTAATGAGTATAGGAGTCCAGAGGTGATGTTGCAGCTGTATATGACATTGGTTAGGCCACTTTTGGAATACTACGTTCAATTCTGGTCTCCTTGCTATGGGAAAGATGTTGTTAAACTTGAAAGGGTTCAGAAAAGATTTACAAGAATATTAAATAAAAACCAAAAGAACTGCAGATGCTGTAAATCAGGATCAAAAACAAAGTTGCTGGAAAAGCTCAGCAGGTCTGCCGGCTCTGGTCTGTGAAGGAGAAAACAGAGTTAACGTTTCGGGTCTGGTGACCCTTCCTCAGAACTGAGGAAGAATACAAGAACATTGTCAGGGTTGGAGGGTTTGAAAGACTGAATAGGCTCGGGCTATTTTCCCTGGAGCATTGGAGACAGAAGGTGGTGCGAGTATGGAATCAACTGCCAGAGGAAGTGGAGGAGGCTGGTACAATTACAACATTTAAAAGGCATCTGGGTGGGTACATGAAAAGGAAGGGTTTAAAAGGGATATGGGCCAAATGCTGGCAAATGGGACTAGATTAATTTAAGATATCTGGTCAGTATGGACGAGTTGAACTGAAGATCCTGTTTCTGATTTATACAGCTCTATGATTTTATCACTCTAAGTCAGTCTTCCCACTACATCTTCCTCCATGGGAACTGACTGGGACCAAACCTGCCACTTTATAAACATGTTGTTAGTGGTCCCAGGATGAGCTTACAGCCACACTATCACTATGTCACTCATCCACTTGTTTCCATCTCTGTAACATCATGTAAAACTTCCCTCTGCCTTAACTCTGCGGCTGAAACCTTCATTCGTGGTCGGGATCTCTAGGCCTGACTATTCCATTGCACGTGTGGCTGGTCTGCCACATTCTACCCTTGATAAACTTCAGGCCATCTAAAGCTTTCCTGTCCATGTCCTAACATATAGCAAGTCCTTTTCACCTATCATGCTTCTACTCTCTGGCTGACATTGACTCCAGGTAAAACAATGACCAGCAGGACGGACTTGGCAAAGATGGCAGCCAATTGAGTGTATCAGCCCTTCAATTGACTGAATGTTGTGCGCCACTTGAAGGAAGTACTGAGGAGGGGAAGAGCAGATGATGTACTCAGGGTGAGGGACTCTGTTTATCAAGTTGGTCAAATCCAAAAGGACATACACAGCTGCTAGACTGGGCCTGCAGCAGGTGGTGAAGGAACCAATAAGACAGAAAAACATACTTGATCTCATCCTCATCAGTCTGCTGGCTGCAGATGCAACTGTCCATGACAGTATCGGTAAGAGTGACCACCACACGTCCTTATGAAGGCAAGTCCAGCCTTCACATTGAAATACTCTCCATTACGTTATGTGACACTATCACTGGGCTAAACAGGTATCATATCAGATAGAACAGCTAGCAGAATCAGCAGCAGTTCAATTGTTCTCCAATGCAATCTACAACCTCCGAAATAGGTCCTCCGAAATAGGTCCTGCTTCCTCAACTGAGGATTCCCCAACACCATAGTTGACAGGGCCCTCAGTCAGGTCTGACCCATCTCCCACACTTCAGCTCTCATCCCCTCTCTTCTCTCCCACAATAGCGATAAGGTCGTCCTTGTCCTCACCTACCATCCCATGAACATTCACATCTTAGAGGATCATTAGCTGCTGTTTCCACCACCTCCAGTGCAATGCCACCACCAGACACATATTCCCCTCCTCTCCCCTCCCTTTCTCAGCCTTCCGCAGGGACCGTTCACTCTTGGACACCCTGGTCCACTCTTCCTGCACTCCCAACAACCCCCACAGCCCCATAGCACCTTTCCCTACAACCATAGAACCTCCCTCCTCAATATCTAAAGGCCCAAACACACCATCTAGGTGAAGCAGTGTTTTACCTGAGTTCACACAATCTACTCGACAGCATTCTCTGCTCACAACGTGGTCCCCACTACATTGTAGGCTGGGTGACTGCTTCGCAGAACATCTAAGTTATGTCCTTAAAAAAGACCCTGAACTTCCTGTCACTTCCTGTCAGTTGCCTGCCACTTCAACACACCACCATGTTCCCTGACCAACATCTCTGTCTCAGGCTTGCTGCAGTGCCCCAGCGAAGCTCAGCACAACCTGGAAGAATAGCACCTCATTTTCTACTTGGGAAGTCTACGGTCTTCTGGATTCAATATTGAGTTCAACTACTTTAGGCCTTGAGCTTCTCCCATGTCCTTACCGCATCCCCTGGTCTTGTCATCACATTGTCTGCTACTACACACAACTCATTGTTAGCCACTAACAGTCCCCATTAATAGCTATTAATTCTCCTAGTCTAATCCTTATCCATTCCTTTGTCTGTACAATTATTATTTTCTCTCTTTGGGCTCTATCCCCCACCTATCATTTACTCCTTACCCTACCTCCCCCACCCTATCTTCTGCATAAAAACTAACATTCTCTTAGCTACCATCTGTTCTAAAGAAGGGTCACTGGACTTGAATTGCTAACTCTGATTTCTTTCCATAGATGCTGCCAGATCTGCTGAGCTTTTCCAGCAATTTCTGTTTTCATTTCTGATTTCCAGCATCTGCAGCTCTTTCGGTTTTTATAATCTGCAACCTCATGGGCCATCCTATCCGCCATTCAACCATGACCGTCAATCTGGAAATTCAACCCTGGTTCAATGGAGAGTGCAGGAGGGCATGCCAGGAGCAGCATCAAGTACAGATGAATCATGTATCACAGTATTAATTTTTCACCTGGCTGAATTTGGAATGATGTGACAGTAAAGGAGTACAGTAAATTGGGTTGAACAATTAACAGATGAAATTAGGAACAGTTGGCAAAACCAGTGCATGGCGTTCAACGTGAAAATGTTTTGAGATTTAAGGACAACAATATTCTTTACATGGTGCGAAGCAGAGAACTAGGTTCAGGTACACAATTCACTGAAGGTTAGGGTTAGGGCTGCCCCATGACCATACAGCAAAAATGGCTGATGACAGCCCCAACAAACTTTGCAGTACATGTTTAATAGAAATTATAAAGTGAGAGAAATGCTTTTTTAATGTGTTCTCAGCACAGAGTACAATAGCAATCTGTTCCTCAGTAAGATTGAATCTGGAACATTCTTTGCTACCCTAAAGATAAGAACATTTCATACCAATTAGTTATTTAAGTCTTTTTCTATTCAATCAGTTATAATACTACAAATAGGTTTTAATTAAGATTCTTAAGGTAATCATAGATATAGATTTCAAGGTGTTATAGAAGGATATATATAGTTTTTACAGACACACTAATCACTAAAATATTAGAAAGAAAGGTTTAAAACTAATTGTAAGGGGCCTTCCTTATCTGTTCTAGTTGAGACAGAAAAAGTTACAAGCAGCCATGGAAAGTTCAGTTTCCCACATAGCAAAAGGGGCCATTCAGATTAAAGCAACAAGATTACTAATTGAATGATGGACTAGAAACCCAATCATAGCTGACCCAGATCTAATTAACTAATAGTATACATGGGAAGAGAGTGTGTGCCACCATGTTAATGTTTCAAGAAAAATATATAAAAGACATTTTACTTGAAATTGAAATTAGAGTGTCAGTTTCTTCTGATCTGAGCTGCAGATCAAGATGGTAATTGAACCCTCACATCGAGGCGGACTATGTCAATAAAATTGCCACATGCCTCAAACTCTGTTGTCTCCTGAAAGATTATCATCTCTGTAAGATTCTCTCCTACAGTCAGTGGACAGGTACAAAAAAAAGACTAATCAAATTTTTGTCTTTATGTCAACAGGATTTTAAGTTTACTTCAATCATGCAGAGCTCTGATCAGACCTGAGCTGGATAAACTGCCAACAGTTCTATGTCCTATACCTCAGGAGTGGGTTGGTGGGATTCAGTGGAAAGATACCATGGCAGAAAAAGAGATTGAGCTCTGAGGATAATATAACATAGACCTGTGTTTCCTTGAATTAAAAGAAAACTAACAGGTGATCTAGTTGACCTTGAATGGTTATGACACAGGAACAGGCCATCCAGCCTGTTGAGTCTGTGATGGCCCTCTGCAAGAACAATATACTCAGTACCATTCCCAATACAGCCTTGCTAGTTTATTTCTCAAATTTTTCACATTCATTCACAGGATATTGGCATCGCTAGCTCAGTCAGCCTTTATTGCCCAAATTTGCCTGGAGGACAGTTTAATGCCAAATTGCCGTGTGTGTGGAGTCTCATCTGGGCCAGATCAGGAAAGGACAGTAGTGAGCTGGATGCGTTTTCTCCAACAATCAACAGTAGTTGCACAGTTACCATTAAGCTACCTTTAAAGTTCATTTTGCATTCAAAATTCACCATCTGCCATCATGGGATTTGAACCCAAGTCCCCAAAGATTAACTTGGGGTTTTGGATTACTTATCCTTTGTTATTACCACAATATCCCCATCTCCCCATCTAAATAAAGGATGAATCAAGGATTTGAAAGGCTGGATAAAAGGAAATTACTGTTCTGGTGAGACAGTCGAAAGAGAGGTGCATCAACATAAAATTAGTCTTTGTCCAACAGGGTTGAGGTCAAGAAGCACTTGCTTAAACAAGGGGAAGTGGAATTGTAGAACTCCGGCCACTCCCCTCATACCATAACATTATTCAAGCTGGGGGTCAACTGAAACTATCAAAATTGAAATTAGGTTTTGTTTAGTAAGAGTTTGAAGGGTTACAGAACCAACAGGAATAGATAAAAATAAACGCAGATCAGCCATGATCTAATTAAATGGGGAAACAGATCCGTGGGATAAATTGTCCATTATAATGTAATGTTTTAACAGATTAAAATCATAAAGGCACTGATCAAAATTTGATATCAGGAAAACACTGGGTGATGGGATCCCTGCCTGTTGTAAATTTTTGACACAGTCATTCTTGATCTTCGCCAGTTCCTCCTTTTCATTAAATATTGTGCAATGATTTCTCACTGATTTGATATCATTATCAATTTTAGATCGAACAAAGTAGAATTTCTTCCCAAGCCGTCTAATTTCTTTGGCAAGTTCTGCATCATTTTCTCTGAACCGGCAGTGTGAGATAATGATGAAGAAATTGTACGTCTCAAAGTTCATTTCCCTCAGATATTTATCTGCTGGGAATCTTGTTGTTCCAATTCCCGGCAGATCCCAGAAACGGACATTTGACATTTTGAGATCTTTGTACCCAATTGGCTCCATTGTTGTTTCAATGTTACCAGTTTCAGCAGCTCCCTCATCATCGCTCCGAAGGCCCCTCATGGCATTGATGAAGGTTGATTTCCCTGAGCCTGATTCTCCTGTCACTGCAATGTTCAGCTCTGTAGAATCTAGATCATTTATCTTCTTCTGCAATAGTGTAGCCTTCGCTACCCGCAAAGTTTCATTGTCAGACTTTTGTTTGTTGAGCTCTTCCTGAGTGTAGCAGAAAGTCTTTGAAGACTGAGCCATCTGATCACTGAGAACAAAAACATTATACATGATGTTTTGCATCAAACTATTTGAAAGAATTTGTAGTCACGCAGCACAATAGACTGGATTTGAAGGTATTAGTGAATAAATGGCATTTGTCATTCATTACTATAGGTTTTTGCATTGGACATTACATTTTCAGAAATGCAAAACAGCATTAAATCCGCGATTAGGAGTCTGTGACCTGTATGACCAGGGCAAGCAATTGTGAGCTGAGTTTTCACAATGGAGGTGGAGGTCAAGGGTTAGGTCTGATCATGGGTCACGAACCTGCTTCCTTTGGGAAATTGATTAAAGCCACAACTTACATAATGGTGAGCCTTCAACTGATATGGAGATGGGTGTCAAACTGCTATTCACCTACTTTTGAGGTGGCTGTCAGTCTGCTACCACAACCATGTATTTGATTAAATAGTTCAATACAAACACCAGTCTGCTCTCTTCACTTCCTAAACAGCAACCTTTACTGGTGAAAAACAGCCCTTAAATACATGCCCAATGAACCAGCTAGTCTCTATTATTTCTTAAGCATGTACTGCTTCAATGTAGAAGGTTTACATCATTTCCAACATTATCAGTGATCTCACAGACTAATTCAAGGGAGAGGAACCAGACGGTAGGAAGGGTGAGCACTGTTGGAGTGGAGGGAGATGAGCAGTGTTGAAGTTGGTGACAGAAATGAGCTTTGTTGGAATGGGAGCAGTGTCAAGATGGGAGGCTGTGCTGTGTCAAGGGTTGACAGGTCCACTGAAGAACTCTATCAATGAACTGAAGTTAGACCCGAATCCGGAGGGCACCTTCTGTTTTTGATGGAAAGGGGGTTGTGCCTTTGTTTCCCTTACACTCTTCCACTGAGCCACCACCCTCCCATCTTCCCTCCTGTCCCCAGATCTGGTCACCACTGGACACTGGAGCTGGCACGGGAGCATCCAGAAAGCTCCAGCCTGGAAAACTAAGTGGATGGTTTACAACACAGTCAGAAGCTTGAACTCCCTTCCATCGCGAACTGAAAGATCTGGACCAATGGGACACTGAACCGTGGAATGATTCCTGTGCTACACACACACACACACACAGATAGACAGAGGCTCCAAGGTGTGGGAGATAGAGCCCCTGAGGGGCTGGGCAGGCAGCAATAATTACAGGATGTGTGCAGTAACAATAAACAGTAAAAATAAATGGGATTTGGCTCTCCATCCCTCTGTATGTCCACTTTCTGTTTTCAGACAGAGATTTATTGAATTGTATTGACCACCTCTCACTGAAACATTTGTGGTCTATCCATAGAAAAGTTGGAGGATATGAAAGGGCCTGTGTGAAAGACACCACAGCCAGTCTGGGGCTCCCAAGTGACAGCCTGAATCTGTAGTAATTGCCTGCTCAGACATAGTGCAGGTCACTGACATGGTCCAGAGACACCACTGTTCCACGCTCATACCTGAAACATTTTGTACAATTAGAGTGAGACCAGATTGAAAAGTTCCAATCGGATATTGGGAATCCTCAGATTTGTCCTCTCTCCTTTATGGTCAGCTTGCCTGTGCCACAACTAACTTTTTGAGGGACTTTGATGGATGAATCTGGAGTCGACAGTGTGACTGAACACAGCCAATATGCTGTTGGGTGTGAGGATGAAGGGAGGTTAATGAGCTGCAGAATTGCCAGTACACTCTCATCACAAGTGATGCCACTGAGCAATGGGCATGTGTTACAATGACAGGCTGTGCTGGAGCAAGAGGAACTGAAGAGTCGCATTAATAAGTGTTTCTTAACCAACCTGGAGCTGGCTCCTCCCATCCTCCTTGACTGTCTTTCACTGCTTTCCCCGTCTGACTGCCCAGCGATTCCTGAGAGCCCTGCTCAGAAAGGGGAGGAGAGGCCAGAGTCTCATTTGGTTGTGTTTGGTTGTGTCCTGTTAAAGGAAAGTAGAGAGTGCGAGTGGCAGCACTTTATTTACCATCCAATAAAGTACAGGTCTGGTGTGAGCAATAACAGCAGAGAAATGGCTAAGAGAGAGAGAGGGAGATACCTTCATTGCTTTACAATACACAGCTTGAAAGACTAATAATTAATGGCCAGAAGGCCAGGGAGTGGGACAGTGTCCCCAGATGCAGTCAGTGCCGAGTGGCCGGAGACACCCGGGAAGCCGCAGATCATTTTGAAAGAGATAACAAGGTGTACAGCTGGATGAACCCCTCCCTCCGGACAAACTTCAGGGGATCTCTCTCCCACTGCAACTCTCTCGTAATCTCTTCGGCCCTGAAACTGCTCGACTATGTCCTGAAGCAAACCAGGTACTACAGCCACATCACCTTTCTTAGGACCTGCCTACGGAACCAGATCATCCCCAATGGACTACAATCCACATTCAAGCCTTCCCAATTTGGCCCCAACCGTGACAATATATACACTCATGGCATTGAGATCCTTCAGAAGCGTTTCTCCCTGTGACTCCTGAAACACACACTTGCAGCAATGCGCCAGCATCTCCAGGCACTACAATCAAGCCTACCCCAGCTCAGAGCCTCCCTCTCCCAGAGCTGCAAAGGACCTCTCCTGTTTTTCATTCTTCGTAGGATCCACAACCTGAACTCACAATTCTACTCAGCTTTATTGGACACTAAAAACCGTAAGTACAGTAAACTTACTGGTGCCTACCACGCAAAACGGGCTTCCTCCACCTCCCAAATCCCCAGCTGTACCCAGGACCTTCTCCACAATGTGCCCAGCGCCACTGGCCATGAGGCCACTGTCGGAGAACCCACAGATGACGTCACATCCGCCACCGCCGAGTTCCCCACTTCCGGGACAGCGAACGCCATCGCTGCCGATGCCACCGCCTCCATTTCCGAGATCAACACCACTGAAACTGAAGTCGCGCCTACCGTCACCGCTACTGCCGCTGCCTACCCCGCTCCCCCCACCGCCGACGCCGCTCCGCCCATCACCAACGCGGACGCAACTCCGCCCACCGCCGGCGCAACTCTGCCCACCGCCGGCGCCGACACAACTCCGCCCACCGCAGACGCCGACGCCGCTCCACCCACAGCCGACGCCGACGTCGCTCCGCCCACAGCCTCCACGGCCAGCAGCTCCAGAGGGGACAATAGCACCCAGCCCCGCCGAGTCTTCACCATCCCCCCAGACCTACCCCTTACTGAAGACGAACGGTCAGTCCTCAGTAAAGGGCTCACCTTTGTCCCCCTCCACCCACAGATCAACGAATACCGCTCACGCTTGGACATAGAGCAGTTTTTCCGCCGCCTCCACCTCCACGCTTACTTCTTCAACCGTGAGCCTAACCCTCCCTCTACTGACCCCTTCTCCCGCCTCCAACACACCCCCTCCTCGTGGACACCACCCCAAGGCCTCCTACCCTCCCTCGACCTCTTCATCTCCAACTGCCGTCAAGACATCAATCGCCTCAACCTCTCCACCCCCTCACCCACTCCAACTTCTCCCCCGCAGAACGTGCAGCCCTCCGCTCCCTCCGCTCCATTCCCAACCTCACCATAAAACCTGCGGACAAGGGAGGTGCAGTTGTAGTATGGCGCACTGACCTCCACATCGCCGAGGCCAGACGCCAACTCTCCGACACCTCCTCCTACCGCCCCCTTGATTATGACCCCACCCCTGAGCACCAAACCATCATCTCCCAAACCATCCACAACCTCATCACCTCAGGTGACCTCCCACCCACGGCCTCCAACCTCATCGTTCCCCAACCCCGCACTGCCATCTTCTAGCTCCTTCCCAAAATCCACAAACCTGAATGCCCTGGTCGACCCATTGTCTCCGCCTGCTCCTGCCCCACCGAACTGATCTCCAACTATCTGGACTCCATTTTCTCCCCCTTGGTCCAGGAACTCCCTACCTATGTCTGTGACACCACCCACACCCTCCACCTCCTCCAGAACTTCCAATTCCCCGGTCCCCAACACCTCATCTTTACCATGGATGTCCAGTCCCTCCACACCTGCATTCCCCATACAGATGGCCTAAAGGCCCTCCGCTTCTTCCTGTCCCGCAGGCCCGACCAGTCCCCCTCCACTGACACCCTCATCCGCTTAACCGAACTCGTCCTCACCCTCAACAACTTCTCTTTCAATTCCTCCCACCTCCTACAGACAAAGGGGGTGGCCATGGGTACCCGCATGGGCCCAAGCTACGCCTGCCTCTTTGTAGGTTACGTGGAACAATCCCTCTTCCGTACCTACACTGGCCCTAAACCCCACCTCTTCCTCTGTTACATTGATGACTGTATCGGCGCCGCCTCGTGCTCCCACGAGGAGCTCGAACAGTTCATCCACTTCACCAACACCTTCCACCCCAACCTTAAGTTTACCTGGACCATCTCTAATACCTCTCTCCCCTTCCTGGACCTCTCTGTCTCCATCTCGGGCAACCACCCATAAACCGATATTCATTTCAAGCCCACCGACTCCCACAGCTACCGAGAATACTCCTCCTCCCACCCACCTTCCTGCAAAAATGCCATCCCCTATTCCCAATTCCTTCGCCTCCGCCGCATCTGCTCCCAGGATGAGGCATTCCACTCCCGTACATCTCAGTTGTCCTCGTTTTTCAAGGACCTTAACTTCCCCCCCTCAGTGGTCGAGAACGCCATCATTTCCCGCAACTCATCCCTCACACCCCATCCACGCAATAACAACCAAAAAAGAATCTCCCTCATCCTCACGTACCACCCCACCAACCTCCGGATCCAACGCACCATCCTCCGACACTTCCGCCATCTGCAATCCGACCCCACCACCAAAGACATCTTTCCCTCCCCACCCTTATCTGCTTTCCGGAGGGACCACTCTCTCCGTGACTCCCTTGTCCGCTCCACACTCCCCTCCAGCCCCACCACACCCGGCACTTTTCCCTGCAACCGCAGGAAGTGCTACACCTGTCCCCATACCTCCTCCCTCATCCCCATCCCAGGCCCCAAGAAGACTTTCCACATCAAACAGATGTTCACCTGCACATCTGCCAATGTGGTATACTGCATCCGCTGTACCCGGTGTGGCCTCCTCTACATCGGGGAAACCAAGTGGAGGCTCGGGGACCGCTTTGCAGAACACCTACGCTCGGTTCGCAATAAACAACTGCACCTCCCAGTCGCGAACCATTTCAACTCCCCCTCCCATTCCTCAGACGACATGTCCATCCTGGGCCTCCTGCAGTGCCACAACGATGCCACCCGAAGGTTGCAGGAACAGCAACTCATATTCCGCTTGGGAACCCTGCAGCCCAATGGTATCAATGTGGATTTCACAAGCTTCAAAATCTCCCCTCCCCCTACCGCATCCCAAAACCAGTCCAGCTCGTCCCCGCCTCCCTAACCTGTTCTTCCTCCCACCTATCCCCTCCTCCCACCTCAAGCCGCACCCCCATCTCCTACCTACTAACCTCATTCCTCCCCCTTGACCTGTCCGTCCTCCCTGGACTGACCTATCCCCTCCCTAACTCCCCACCTACACTCACCTTTACTGGCTCCATCCCTGCCTCTTCGACCTGTTTGTTTCCTCTCCACCTATCCTCTCCTCTATCCATCTTCTATCCGCCTCCCACTCTCTCCCTATTTATTTCAGAACCCCCTTCCCCTCCCCCTTTTCTAATGAAGGGTCTGGGCCCGAAACGTCAGCCTCTCTGCTCCTATGATGCTGCTTGACCTGCTGTGTTCATCCAGCCCTGCACCTTGTTGTCTCGGATTCTCCAGCATCTGCAGTTCCTACTATCTCAGGCCAAGCAGCATCATAGGAGCAGGAAAGCTGAAGTTTCAGGCCTAGACCCTTCTTCAGAATTCTTTTTTACCCCTGCTTAACTATTGCTAGTTGTTTGCAGAATTTCCATTGAGGGTGGTCATCTCGCTCGCACTGTCAATACTCACCGACCCCAAACAATGCCGCCAAGACCCACCTTGTGTTACTAATCATTTCCGCAATGACACTTCCGTATTTCAGGTTTCACACAAAACGAAAACTTCGGCACTCCTTACCCTTCAAAGTTAGTGCTTTGATTTCGTTCAGAACTTGAAGAGATCTAAACAATATGGGGAAATCACTTGTTGGTCTTTAAAGTTGAGCTGTAATTTAGTTTAAACCTATTGAATGTGATTCTTCCTCATCATTTCACTAACTCCCCCCAGTTTGTTATTGGATTCTTGGTACTTGCCTGTGCTGCTTCCTTGAACGGAGGAGAATCTGTCGGTGAAATTCTCTCCCAGTGTCAGTACTGCCGCTTGACCATCTCTCACATGTTGAGAGTAAACAGCCTGACAGTGATAACACAGTGTGGAGCTGAAGGAACACAGCAAGCCAGGCAGCATCATCTACAGTTCTTACTATCTGAGTGTGGAACAGCTCCCATATAATCAATGAGACAGATTCCTGGATGTTCCTCCAATGAGAATCACAGTAGGTAATCACGTGTTTATGGGAAGATTTTGCTTTTGAAAATACCAATACGAGAAGAGATTTCAGAAATGGTTGAAAGCATTGCGGATGAGTGAAAGTCTGAAATGTAGAGCCACGCCCTGTCACAGGGTGAGACTGCAGGCACATTGCAGAGTTTTAAACATTCTTCACTTTTCGAGAAAAGATTTGGATTTCTTTTGCACAAAGTCAGCTGCAGCTCAGCCAGGAGCACACTTGCCTAAGTCACCAGATTTCTCAGTCTAAAGTCCCACTTCAAGACGTAAGCACAATAATTAAAGCTGACACTCCTGTTCATAGAACATAGAACATAACAGCGCAGTACAGGCCCTTCGGCCCTTGATGTTGCGCCGACCTGTGAAACCAGTCTGAAGCCCATCTAACCTAAACTATTCCATTATCATCCATATGTTTATCCAATGACCATTTAAATGCCCTTAAAGTTGGCGAGTCTACTACTTTTGCAGGCAGGGCATTCCACGCCCTTACTACTCTCTGAGTAAAGAACCTACCTTGACATCTGTCATATATCTATCACCCTTCAATATAAAGCTATGTCCCCTCGTGCTAGCCATCACCATCTGAGGAAAATGGCTCCCACTGTCCACCCTATCTAATCCTCTGATCATCTTGTATGTCTCTATTAAGTCACCTCTTAACCTTCTTCTCTCTAACGAAAACAGCCTCAAGTCCCTCAGCCTTTCCTCATAAGACCTTCCCTCCATACCAGGCAACATCCTGGTAAATCTCCTCTGCACCCTTTCCAATGCTTCCACATCCTTCCTATAATGCGGTGACCAGAA